CAGCCAGACAGCCAGCCAGCCAGCCAGACAGACAAACAAACAAAACAAAAAGAAGAGAGAGAATGAACGCGTGACGATATAAAACCGTCCATTCCAGGATTTCAGAGACACAGATGGTTCCGAACGCATGACTTACGCCAATAAACCGGACAGTGACATGAAACGGATATTTTGTGGGCGAAAAAAGGTAAATAAATCCAATGAGACCTTTTTTTTATGAATTCGCAAGGTACGCGATATGAAATATGTATAGATAGATAGATAGATAGATAAATAGATAGATAGATAGATTTAAATGATACGTGTAAGTAGATAGATAGTGAATCTGATTGATATTTAGATTGAGTAAGAGAGGTAGGGAGAGAGAGAGAGAGAGAGAGATAGAGAGAGAGAGAAAGAGAGAGAGAGAGAGAGAGAGAGAGAGAGAGAGAGAGAGAGAGACAAGACAGGAGACAGAGAGAGAAGAGGTGAGGGGAGGGGATGGAGGAGAGAGGGAGAGAGAGAGAGAGAGAGAGAAAAAAGAGAGAGAAGAGAGGAAGACAGACAGAGAGAGAAGCACACAGATAGAGAATATTGGTAGATAGGGATTGATAAAGAAGGGAGAGAGAGAGAGACAGACAGAGGATAGATAGATAGAGAGAGAGAGAGAGAGAGAGACAGAGAGAGAGAGAGAGAGAGAGATTGATATATAAATTGATATATGAATATAGAAATACCAAAGAGACATCTATGCTAGCTTATCCCTCCATCCTAACAGGGTTGTGTGAGAGACAACGAATCCTGAAGTTGTGTAAAAAAAATAAATAAAAAAAAATCGCGCAGCACTTGGTATGTTTGTTTGTTTGTCCAAACTTTCCTGTTCGTTTGTTTTTTTTTATCTTTCTTTCATTCTTTTTTCGGTTTCTCTCTCTTTTTATTTGTTTTTTCTTCCTCTACACTGCACTTGTTCATTCATTTACTTCCTTTCTTTCTGTCTATTTTCCTTATCTTTTTTCTATCTTTCTCTCTTTCCATATTTCTATTTCCCCCTCCTTCGTCTCCTTCATTTATTCTTCTCTCTTTTACTCCCTTCCTACATTCTCTCTTCTCCTCCCTTCTTTGTCCCTTCTCGTTTTCTTTCTTTCTATCTCCCTTCTCATTTTCTTTCTTTCTATCTCCCTTTTTATTTTATTTCCTTCTATCTCCTTTTCACTTTCCCTCCTTCCTTTCTTTTCCTCTCTTTACTCATTTTTATCTTCTTATTGTCTTTCTTTCTATTTCCTCTCCTTTCCTCCTTCTTTCCCTTCTTTACTCAATGTTCTCTTATTATGCTCTTTTCCACTCCACTTTCCCTCCTTCCTTTCCATCTTTACTCCTCTTCTTTGCCTTTCTTGCTCCACTTCCCTCCTTCCTTTCCATTCCCTCTCTTTACTCAAATTCCTTTCTTCCTATCCTTCTCTTTCCTCCTTCCTTTCCATTCCCTCTCTTTCTCCTCTCGTCTTCATGCCTTTCCCTCTCTTTACTCAATTTTCTCTTCTTCCTTCCTTCCTTTCCCTCTCTTTACTCTTCTCTTCTTTCTTTCCTTTTTTTTATTCCTTCTTCCTATCTCTTCTCCACCTTCCCTCCTTCCTTTCCTTCCCTCTCTTTACTCAATTTTCTCTCTCTCTCCTGATCCCTAATTTCGGGAAGAGGATGTGGCTTTGCAATTTTTTTTCCGAAGCCATTATCGAAAAGGAAGCCTCTGTGTGCGTTAGCTTCACGGTGGTTAATTGCAAGAGATTCGAACGCACATGTACAGTCATGCATATAATTACGCACACACACACAGATGTACATGCATACACGTGGGCACAAACGCACACACACACACACACACATACACACACACACACATACATTCAAACACACATACACATAGACACACTTATGTACACATATATACAGTGCATACACAAATACATGAGACATGAACACGCAACACATACACAAAAATGAAAATAAGTAGGAAAAAAAACAATAATAACAAAAATAGAATGCAAAAGTAAAAGAAAATGAAAATCAATTAAAAACAAAAAAAAATACATACACGATAAAACAGAATAAGAAAATAGACGAAAATGTTCTACAAGAGAAACACCCCACCCTCACCCCCACACCTTCCCCTTCTCCCTCCCCCCTCCCATCTCCCCTCTTCCCTCCCCTCCTTCCCTTCACCCTCTCCTCCCTTCCTTTCATCCTCCTTGCTCCTCCCTCCTCCCTCCCTTCCCTCCCCTTGCTTTCTCTTCTCCCCTCCCTCCTACCTCATCCCTTCTCCCTTCCTTCCTCTCCCTCCCCTCCTTCCTTCCTCACCCATCCCCACTCCTCCTTCCCTTCCCCTCCCCTCCACTCCCCATCCCCTCCCTCCCCCCTCCTCCCTCCCTTCCTTTCTACTCCCCTCCCTCACCTTCCCCCACCCCTCCCTTTACCCCCCTCCCCTTCCCCTCCTCCCCTCTCTCCCCTCCCTCCCCTCCTCCCCTCCCTTTCCCCTCCCCTCCCTCCCTCCCTCTTTCCACTCCATCCGTGCGTCGTGAATTTACACAACGTTGGTTTGTCAAACGAAAGTCTTTTCAGTCTAGAACTTGTGATGTGTTTGTGATGCCTGTGCGATGTGTCCCTAAAAGAAAATTGGTATTAAGGAAAAAATTATATGTATTGTATGTAAATTAATGGAGAAAAGGAAAAAAATATATATGTATTGTATGTAAATTAATGGAGGAAAGGAAAAAATATATGTATTTATGTAGAATTAATGGAGAAAAGGAAAAAAAATATGTATTGTATGTAAAATTATTGGAGGAAGGAGAAATATATGTATTGTATGGAAATTAATGGAGGAAAGGGGAAAAATGTATGTATTGTAGTAATTATTGGAGGAAAGGAAAAAAATATATGTATTGTATGTAAATTAATGGAGGAAAGGGAGAAAATATATGTATTATATGTAGATTAATGGAGGAAAGGAAAAATATAATGTATATTGTAAATTATTGAAGGAAGGGAAAATATATGTATTGTATGGAAATTAATGGAGGAAAAAAAATTGTGATCTCATTTTTTTCCAAAATAAAAACAATAATGTTCAGAAGATGAAACTAACATCAGGGTAGAGAAAAAAATAATTTTGTATTAAGGGAAGGTTTGTGCGAAAAAAATATATCTATTATATAAAAATGGATGAAGGAAAAACGTGTTGAGATCTCAGAATTTCAAAACTGAAAATAATGATGAAAATAATAAAAATAACTGAAAATTTCCAAAATATAAATGATAATGAGAAATAAGAATAAAAAGCTTTGAATTTTGGATTGATTTTTTAAAAAAGAAAGGTGCTTTAAGTCCGTCATTTAGTTTATGGATGACAAAGACTCCTAAATAAATGAGGCTAGGTAGAAGTAAATGGAAAATTAAATTAATCCAAAACGTAATTTGAGAAAATAAGTCTCAAAAAATGGGGAAAAAAATAAAAATAAAACAAAAAATAAATAATTTCTGAAATTTTGCATGAAAACCCGAAAGAAAAAAAAAAAAAATACTAAAAAAACGGTCAAGAAAAAACATCGAATGAAGGATAACTGAATAAATAAGGATAAGAAAAAAATAAAAAAGGCAGTAAGATGGACAGAAGAAGATGAGAAAGAAAGAGAAAGAGAGAAAGTAAGAAGAAGAAAAAGAAATCAATAAAACAATGAAAGAGAGAGAAGAAAAAACACAGGAGAGAAATAGGGAGAGAGACAAAGGACCAAAAAGAATGGAAAGAAAGAAAGATGAAAATAACTGATTCGTTATGATGTCAATTAAAGTTATTGTTGTTTTTTTGTTATTGCCGTTGTTCTTGTTCTTGTTCTTTGCTGTCGATGTTGCTGTTGTTGCTTAGAGGAATGAATCTAGGAAGAGAGAGAGAGAGAGAGAGAGGGAGGCGGAGGGAGAGGGAGAGGGAAGAGAGAGAGAGAAGAGAGAGAGAGAGANAAAAAAATAAATAAATAAAAAAAAAAATATATATATAAGTATATATATATATATATATATTATATATTATATATATATATATATAATATATAATATATATTATATGTGTGTGTGTGTGTGTGTTGTGTGTGTGGGTGGTGTGTGTGTGTGTGTGTGTGTTGTGTGTGTGTGTGTGTGTGAGAGAGAGAGATATGTATAAACACGAGTATGTGTGCGTGCGTGTGTGTGTGTGTTGTGTGTGTTGTGTGTGTGTGTGTGTGTGTGTGTGTGTGTGTGTGTGTGTGTGTGTGTGTGTGTGTGTGTGTGTGTGTGTGTGTGTGTAGAGAGAGAGATATGTATACACACGAGTATGTGGCGTGCGTGTGTGTGTGTGTGTGTGTGTCTGTGTGTGTGTGTGTGTGTGTGTGTGTGTGGTGTGTGTGTGTGTGTGTGTGTGTGTGTGTTGTTGTGTGTGTGTGTGTGGTGTGTGTGTGTGTGTGTGTGTGTGTGTGTGTGTGTGTGTGTGTGTGTGTGTGTGTGTGTGTGTTGTGTGTGTGTGTGTGTGTGTGTGTGTGTGTGTGTGTGTGTGTGTGTACAGAAAGAGACAGAGAGAGAGGGAAGGAGAGATGGGGGTTGGGCAGAGACAGACAGAGAGAGGGAGGGTGAAAGAGAGAGAGATGGAGGGAGAGAGAGAGAGAGAGAGGGAGGAGGGAGAGAGGAGGAGAGAGAGTGAGAGTGAGAGGGGGGGGAGAAGAATATAGATAGATAGATAGATACAGAGAGAGAGAGATGAGGAGAGAGAGAGAGAGAGGAGAGAGAGAAGAGAGAGAGAGAGAGAGAGAGAGAGAGAGAGAGAGAGAGAGAGAGAGAGAGAGAGAGGGCAGGAAGGAAGGAAGGGAGGAAGGAGGGAAGGGAGGAAAGAAGGAAGGAAGGGAGGAAGGAAGGAGAGGAGGAAGGGAGGAAGGGAGGAAGGAAGGGAGAAAGGGAGGAAGGAAGGGAGGAAGGAAGGAAGGAAGGGATTTTAATAAGAATCTTGATGGGACAACAACTTTATTTACAGAAGTACTTTTTTTACAAAAATATTCTTTTGTGACAACAGTTTACTATAATCAATATGCCAATTAGATTAATTTATGTCTTTATCATAGAATGAAAAGATGGAGCACATCAAATAGTACTAAATCTTATTTTACAAATAAGCTACTCATTACTACTCACTGATTCATTAAAACACTCTAAAGCTACCTAGTTTAATTTTAGGAAAGTCCATGTATTTCACACTCCCCGATTTCCCTTTACTAATGGCCAGTTGCTACAGACACAATAGCAATAGCAATAATTTTACTTACATGGTATCTCCTGGATTTCATCAACATCTCTTGCATAGGCACTTTTTCTACTCTGTATCAACATGACTAGTCCAGAGGAAATGCAACATCATAATGATTGACATAATCAAAGTGTGTGTTAGCAGTAACCGTGCACCTCGACACACACTGAATAATTATTCATCTATTATGGCTTTTGAAAGTCCGCCATCCCTGATCACTTGAATTCCTAAGGGAATTTTATTTGACACTGAAAATAAACATGCAGAGATTGGTCTACCTATATATAGAAAATCTAACGACTTCCATTTACACAAACATTGAAATGGGGTTCATTTGTGCTTCAGTATAACGAGTTGGGTTAAATGATTACATACAGTTTACTACACATAAACATAAGCACCTCAGGGTGGTGTTGGGAGGTGGATTCCACTGCATACAAATAAAACCAGGAATTACGGATGACCAATGTCACTTATCCCACAACAGAATTGGTCTCTTTCGGGGGGGCAGAGCTACGCACGTACATCTGGTGTATTACGAATACCCAGCATTACAATG